TTTACTTTCAATCTATGAGAATACTGATGCTCAACCTGCGCATATAGTGATCAACAATGGCAAGGGTTTAGAGCGTCAAGAGCAGTAAAATGTGTATGTATGTATAAAGGAAGCTCATTTAACTACTGAAGTAGGAAATAGACATTAGGTGATTCCCAAATAGAATTATATATGAACAGTAAATGTGTCTCTAATTTCATAAATTCAGCAGCTGTCTGTATGCAAATGAATCCAAACACTGCAAAGAGCAGCAGTTTTACAGTTGAACAACATCAAGGAATAAATTAATTGCTCTTAAAAATTAAAACAGATCTTTCAAAACCTCTAATTACCATGTCAAAATTAGTGATTGATTTACCTTAACTTAATGAAACAGGCTCTACTTCAAGAGATCTCTCTCTGACTTAGTGAAACTTAACTTACTATGATGTACTGATAGGGGTCTATGGAGGACATTCTGACAGCAATGGGGAGGTCAGGAAGGCACTTTATTTCAAGACAGTCCGGGAAACATCTGTAAAATTTGACAATAAAAAAAAAGGTAGAAAAAAACATACTGTCTACGCACAAGCGGTTGAAACATGATACCGCCTTTCCGAATGACATGCTGCGTTTAACGCTCTGAGACCCAAAAGGTCGCTCTCAGTTCACAAGTATGATAGAAACTTTTTTAAAGAAGGATTTTGTTGCGCGAGTCATAAACGCGTAGACACTAAAGGTTTTACGACTTTACAGAGAAATGAAACATGCAAGAACTTACCATAGTTGGTGGTACAGTGATGTTGGTCCCTCTCCGACGTGAAAGTTACTTCAGGAAGCCAAGAGGAATGCGCATTACTGGATGGACTAAAGATGAGATTCGAACGAATCGTTCATTTGAGACTGTCCATTGCAATGATTCAATCGAACCGACTCGCACAAGGTTTGTAAATCTTATTGAATATAGTTTATAAGTAAAAACCCTAAACGTATATGAAGTGGATAAAAGGTTGGACCTATAGACATCGAAACTTTTCACACTATTTTTTTGTAACTACTGAGAAAGTGTATCTGCCAAAACTGCAGGGTTTTAATTTGACTAACTGCACCAAACTGGACCACCAAAACGTACGCTAAATACAACTAATACATAAACGTAATCGAAAACATCAGTGATATAATATCAGTAGTGAATAAAATATCCAACGAACCACAAACAAGAAAGCGTCAAATCGATGAATCAACTGAAAGTTGAATGAGTTTCCTGAACCAGTTCATTCAAACGAATCATTCAAACGAATCGATTCTCTAAAATCAGTCGATTTCAGGGCGGACGCTAACTCTTCCCCCGCCCCTGCCTCCTCATATTTCACAAGGACTCCGATGGGAATTATTTTAGCGCTATGTTAATATTATTAAACATAATAATATAAATGAGAAATCTCGTTGCATTTAAGTGTTCATGTATCAAGATTATGATAGACTAATTAAATTATAACCCAGAATGTAAGATTGCGAATGAATGTAATAGCGACACATTCTCTGACAGGTGGCGCTCATGAGTTACAGCAATGCGATCATAATCACTGGAATCCACATCTTTGGTTTTGAAAATTACGGAGGTTACAGTAATTCCTTTCCTCAATTTAAAGCCATGTCTAGTTGATCAAATGCATAATAATTATAATAACAAATTACAGGCTAATAATTTGTATAGGCTAATTTATTATAATAACATATTTTGGAGGGACATACATAAACATTTGAGTAGGCTATGTTATTAATCCTGAATATATATATA